GATATTTTATATTTACATTGCTACACGTACCAATACATACCATATAACTTGTGAGATGGTCCAATTATTAGCATTTAGACTTATGGCAGTGTAGGCGTTAATCAAATTATCCCTATGATGTGATAGTATTTTGCTATGATTATTTTGGTCTGCAAATAATTTGACCTTGCGCGGGTGAGTTAACCACGCGTTGTAGTATTGTAGCCGCTCGGCTATAATGATCCTGATGAATATGTGGACGTTTGTGTTTTTTACATGTTTCAATACATAGTCATGTAGTTTCAGAAATGCAAATATGTAGTGGCTGTAAAAATATAACTTGATTAATTAATAATTTATTTTGAATTATATTGTTTGTCTAGTTTAATTTAGGTATTTAATAAACTGTACTTAATTTTTGTGTAATATATAATGTTTATGTTTAAATAATAAAATTATTATATTGGTCACCATTAGTACAAGTAATAATTATTTTTGTTGTGTATTATTAATATTTATAGTTTAACATTTATGTACTACAATATAAAGTGTATTACTTGGTAAGTTAATTAGAGTGATAAACATTACTTGGTTATATTTTCTTTGATGTCGGCTTCGGATGTAGGCCATGGATGTGTCCGATTGCCTGTGCGGTCAATATAAGCTAGATCATTATCTAACTCATTTGCTTCATTAACATCAATCGTACATAAATAACTCGTAAAATACACTACAATAAATACATATTTTGTTACATACATATATTATTCAAATTTATTTTAATTGTGTAGTTTTTTAATTAAATAAAAATACAACTATGTTGAATAGCAAATTAATCAAATTTTGTTATATTTTAAGGCATTAAAATCATTATAAAAAGATATTAATGAGCTTCTTGTATTATAATTACCTAGTAAAATATATGCACATAAAACATATACATTCATTTTGATAAAATGTAATTAACTATAATATAACATTAATTAATTATTACGTTAAATTAACACATCATCATCTAATATCTAATTTGCAAATTGCATACAGACACTTACACAATCACCACGATGACTAAATTAATCTTGATCTGTTTGATTGTATTTGCTTTTGCTGGTAAGTACTCTCATTGTGGTAACTAATAGCACATTATAATTAACACATTTACATAAATAGATATTTATTGCAGCAAAACAACTAGTTTATTATAACAACAATTTATTAATTTAATTCAATCATAATTATTTATTATTCATTGTTTAACCAATAATTTACATGTATATACAGCCATAGTCAGTGCATTCTACGACATTCACCATGATGAGTACGGCCATCCTAGTCACCACGAGCATTATGATGGACACCATTTGCACCATGGCCACCATTACGGACATCCCCATCACTACGAACACCACCCTTACCACCACGACCACCATCCCCACCATGTCCATGGTTTCTCCAGCATGCATGTGCACCACCCCCACCACGAACACCACCACCACGCTCACCCCCCTCACCGCCACCACCACCATGAACACCACGAGCACCATGCTCACCATGAGCATCACCCTTAGTAAGCCACAAAACAAATTGTGTGGCTACAAACATATGCATGTTTTGCATAATCCCATACAAAAATATAACAATAATATTTAATTAAATAAATTATTTACAAATTTTTATTTATTAAATATGGCTTGATTTATTTCAATTTATATAAATAAAAGTAATTTAATATTTTAATCATGATTTTAATTGATTGGCAAAGGCCTCAATGAGCGCCAAACCCATGGACTGGCGCTTGGATTCAGTGGTGATTGTGGGCGCGTTTGTACGCAATTTGGCAAAATCGCACTCATTGGGTATGTTATGGCCGACCACTTTCAAAAAGTACTTGCTCAATGATTTCTGGGATTTCTCTTTCAGCGAGTTTTGGTATTTTTGTGTATCGGACGGCAGCAGGGAGTCCCGTTCCCGGGCAAACCACATGTGAAAACTAGTGTTTAAACGTATGGGAAAGTTAATTAAATTATGTATTTTGCAATTATTACCCAAAACAGCAATATTTAATAAATATATCTTTTGAGAGTTTTAAAAAAATTATAAGTTATGCTAAACTATAAATTATATTTTATACCTAGGTACACTTACTACTGTACTTGAGTATCTGAAGTGCAGATTCTGCATCTACTAGTTATATGTGCAACTTTATATTTATGCTGAAAATTTTGAGAGACAATTATCTAGGTTTTATAACTTAAACAAACCTACATTGACTTTATGTACTGTATAAATAAATTATTTTTGCTATTAAATTCAAAAAATAATTAATTAATTTTATAATACCAAAATAAAAATAATAATTCATACCAGAAAATATCATCCAAGGTAAAATTATTACCAGTGGGCTGAGCGGCCAGTGTAAACACGTTAATCGCTTGTTCCCGGAGTCCCTTAATTGTATCGGCTTTACTATTAACTTCTTTGTGAAATTTTAATAGTTTACTCGTGTGAACAGTGCTGGTGAAACAGCTAATATGCCTGATCCGAAGTGCCTCGCTGATCATTACGCGCATGACTGTATGTAGTTCCGAGTGATCAGGGTACTTTGTTAACACGTATTCCAAAACATCCATCCAATTTGCTAAATATTTCCTAATATAAGAAAATATATATGTATTTACATATAATTATTTTAAAATAAATAAATATTATAATTAACATTACAATTAAAATTAAAACTAAATGTTAACTGTTAAATATTATTTGTGCATGAATTTTAATTAATTTAAGTTAAGCATAAAAATTAGTGTAAATTAATAAATAATAAAGTTATGCAATAAAAAATACAATTACTAAATAAAAGTGCATTTCAATAAAATTACTCGCATATCTCAAACTTGAGTCCCGACTCGGACTCAGGCCAGGGCCGGTTCGGGTCGCCATCCCTCATAAGTCCGCCTAAAATGTAGTCAATCTCGTCGTCGTCGGTCACATCCCGGCGCCCGGTGTCGCGACCACTGCCCACCCCTATCGAGCCTATTGTAGAAATTAATTAATTATTCACCTAGTTGCAAAATTATAACAATTATTCTATGATTACTTACCTATTAGTAAAATAATGATGGCTGTATTCGTTGCCATTATTTTATAACTTTTTTGTTGATAAAATGGCTTTTGTTAATTAATAATGTTGCGAAACAATATTTTATTAATTAAATTTATATATTTAATTTATTATATAGAGTGCGCTAGTTATTTCATTATTGTAATCTTAATTACAGTAAAAATTGTTTTAATATTTATTAAAACCATATTTGTTGTAAAAATAAAAAGCAAATTGAAAACAACAATGTTGAATAAAATAATGACAATCAGCCTGTTGTTAAGCCTATTCATGGGTGAGTGTTAATAAAAACATAAAAATATTTCTATTTCTACCTACCCCCTAATCTTAAATTATTCTAGAGCTATAATATTCTTAATGTTACTTTCAATTCATTATTAATTAACATAAATGTTGTTAACAATTATAAGTCACATAAAATATTATTTTAAATAATCCTTATCATTACAAAACACAGCTATTGTTAGCGCATACTATGGCCACGAGGGTTACGAACACTACCACCACCACAATGAATACCCCGATGAGCACCACTACCCCCATCACAATCACTACCCTCATCAACACCACGGTTACCATAGTGGGCACGAACACCATGACCAGCACTACCCGGGTCTCCCCCACCATTACCTCCACCCCCATCGGGTGCGCAGCTTCGGCGCGGAGGTGGAGGTAGCTCCGGGACAGGATAAAACTAAAGATAGCAAGGGTCACACATGGTATTGGACCGACTATATACCCATGTGGCCCAAGTGCATAACATGCTAAACATGATGTCTATATGTCTTAAACTAACATTACTAATTGTTATTTTATTAAATATATAATTTATTATTAATTTTATTTTGTATTTTGTCTTATTTTATTTGTAAATAGAAGTATAATTAGTTAACATAGCTTGTTAACTACGCAAATAATTAGTATATTAAGATTGTAATAGAAATATTTATATTATTTATTTAAATTTCTCTAACACTAACTAGTGATAGTGAAAAACACTATGTTCATCCAATCACGGCAGCTATTGGTCAAACTTGTAATAATATTAATTATAAAATTTATATTAACATTAATTAAAACCATATTTGTTTTTTAGATGATTTTTTATTTTTAAGAAATAAAAACATCATGTTGAAGAAGACATTAACAATCGGTTTATTATTGTGCGCATTTGTGGGTAAGTATAGTGACCACTATAAATGTGTCTGGTTAATAATGAACTAACTCAACAAAATTACCAAAGTTACCCAACTTATATTGTTTAAATAAAACACAAGTAAAACATATGTTTATACATACCCATATTTCTATATTTATAAGTTTATCTAGCTATGATATCCATCCTGATAATTTTAGTTCATTATTAATCAACAGAATAATTTGCACAAAAAAATACAATTATAATTATTTCATTTCACTTTCCGCGCAGCTATTGTTAGCGCATACTATGGCCACGAGGGTTACGAGGGTCACCACCATCACGATGAGCACCCCGGTCACTATCACGAGCACCACTACCCTCACCACCACCACCACCATGGTCACCATCACGGTTACCACGGAGAGCACGAACACTACCCCCACCACTACCCTGATCTCCCGCACCACTACCTCCACCCCCACCATCGAGTGAGCGGTTTTGGCGCACAGGTAGACGCGGCGGCCGATTGTCAGAATGACCCGACCAAGGACAGTCATTGTCATACTAGACAGATTACGGACAGTATTCCGATGTGGCCCTCTGCCCAAGGACCTGGGGGTTGGATTGGCTAGATTTACCTGCAGTGAGCGGTGACATAATTGATGTTGTTACTCAATGTTAATGTCACACACCATGGTTGCAAAATTCTATAATGTTAAACTGTAAACTTTTTTTAATATTAAATAAAATTTGTTTCTATTTTATTTATGTATCATTTTATTTGAGTAATTATAAAGGGAGTGTACTGTAAGAATGTGAACATGATTTTAATTGGATTACGTAATGATAAAATTTTCATTCATAAATTAATACCATACGCGATTTTGTCGAACAAAAACAAAACAAACTAAATGATATAAATAAATGCAACATTAAATGTCCTATTCAGGCATCACGCGAACAACGCTACTGTTATTCAGCGCATACATCGGTAAGGCATAGAATTTTTCACTATTAAAAAATACTGAAACATTGTCCAACCCATTTTCAATGAAATTTTTAATTTTTAGCCAGCGGACACTACTATAACCAGAACTGGGATGGGTTGGGCAAATCACGACTATACCAACAACAACCACAACAGCGGCAACAGCAACAACTACCATGGGGCAATCAGAACAGACCGAACTACCCGGCCTATTACGGTCAAAATGTTTACCCAAATCATTTACGTGGTCAACGACCACGATATATCCAACCACCGCAGCAACCCATTTACCATAATCATGTCCATAATCATCGTAGGCGGCGAAAGTCACGGGACCGGTCGGCAAACGCCGAGTTCTGGGGCGTATATAAGGGTAAACCCGATCCACAACAACAGGCCTACCGTAACCAACAGCCACTGCAGCGACAATACACGGGTAGGATGCCCAACGGTCCCGGCGTATACAATTACGCGCAGATCACACCGGACTTTGGACCTAGCCAAGAGGAGCTAAATCGTATATGGTACGAAAAACAGAAAGATAAAAAACGGGCCACGCAACGGCTAAAAGAGCATACTGAAAAACTCCGACAAATGGCCATGGTGGCCGAGGAGGAGCGGCAACGTCAGCACCGGGCGGCTCAGGTGGCCGAAGAGGAGCGACAACGCAAGGCTCAGGCGGCGCAGGCGGGCCAGGAGGGGGCGGCGGCGGCCAAAGACAACGGGCCCAGCGCTCCGCCGGCCGCCGGCCAAGAGGAGCAGCCAACGGGTCCGCACGAGTCGGCTCAGGTGGGCGACGAGGAGGCGTCCAAAGGGGGTCCAAATAAACCGCCGGACGCAGGTGCCGAAGAGGTGGAGCGTAAGAGACAGGCGGCTCAGGTGGCGGCGGAAGAGGAGGCGGCTAAGAAGGAGGCGGAGGTTAAGGCGGCTCAGGTGGCGGCCGAAGAGGAGGCGGAAAAAGAGAAAAAGGCGGCCGAAGTGGCCGATGAAGAGAAACGC